AAAAACAAAAAAAAAAAAAAAAAAAAAAAAAAATGGTTAGAGTTTTAGGATAAGAGTAAATGCCATAAAAATGTTTTCAAAAAGCCAATGAACCAGAACAATGCTAATGAGTCAATATTATGATGTTGCATAAGAAACCACAGTCTGTTAAAAAAAAAAAAAAATTAAGTAGAGAGGGAGAGATAAAGGTTAAAAAAGTTCTGGGAAGAGCTTTTGGGTAGGGGATATACCTTACTGCCAGCGTTCAATTCCCAACCTATCTACGTGTTTGCTTGCATTACTGATACCTCCTGATGAGTGAACCGAATTATTACAAAATAAAAATGTTCGCTTATGAACCTCTGGAATCAGAGTGCTAAATATAACATCAATCTACTAAGTGACAAATTTTATATTTGTATTGATCCTATATATACGTAATATTGTGTATTTGGGTAGTAATCCCTCTTTTATACAGATTTCAATGAGGACAACTGATAAAGCGCTGTGATTAAGATTTTTATTGTATTTTTCTTGTGTTCATACAAATGTTTTCTATTCTAGACATAATGTTGTATGTAAAAACTATCCAAATGATCTGTGAAGCAGTGTTTTTGGCAAATTGATTAGCCATTATCAAGGATGTTTTTTGTTTAACTGAATATGTGGATATTTTTTTTATTTTTTTTATATAGGAGTGGGAATGTTTTAATTTCAGTCACCATTTTGTAGCTAATATATATATATATATATATATATATATATATATATACACACACAGTGTCCATCCACCCAAACCCAACCAACTACCCACCAACCACACTTGCCTGTGACTCCTGCTCATAACTCTTTAGGAGTAAGCTGGGCCTTCACAGCCATCTCCGCCACCAGGGGAGAAAGTGAATAAGGAGAGAGAGATTGATGATCCCTATATATATATATATATAACAAATACATATTCAGTTAAACATAAAAACATACTTGATAATGTCTAAAAGATGAGCTGAAAGCACTCGGATCCACAGATCAGTTTTCACACACTATGTCCAGAAAAGAGATCACTTTTACAAATGCAAAATAATAAAAAGCTTGATCACAGTGCCTTGTCAGTTGTCCCCTAATATATATATATATATATATATATATATATATATATATATATATATATATATATATATATATATATATATTATATATATATAGATATAGATGGAAGTTAACTTATTAATATAAATCAAGATGATTATAGGGATATATCAAATCAAAATTTATAACTGACTAGTTTTTAAAACTATGGTTCCAGAGATTCTATGTTTTGAAACTTGTCTTTAAATCTGTGCTTGAAAATGTATACAGGCTTAAGTGTTTAAGGATGTATAGTAATGTTTGTTTTCATAGGAAAACAAATTTGTATTTGTGTATCCAAAATATATTGGACACGTGTTTCTTTATATTTACCTGAGGCTGGTGGATGGGTTTGGTATGTAGGCAGTACATTTTTTTTCTTTTCTTTTTTTTTAAATAGACATGTCATAAATGAAACAGGATATAGTTATGTCAAAGAGGAGATAACAACACAGAAATTGAAAAAAAAAAAAAAAAAAAAAAATATAATTGGTACCTTTACACACTTAAAATTCTGCAGTGAATGTCATTGAAAAGGCAGATTCAGTTTTTTTTTTTATTTAAGGTAGAGGCCATATTAAGAATATATATTTAAATTAGATATCGTGTTTAGTACTTACTGAAGGCTGACTCAGAGTTTTGTAATTTTTCAATCACTTGTTTCCTCAATAAGTAATGTCATATCTAATTTAATAATTACCACTCAAGCATAATATAGAACATTTTATTATCAGAAATAATGAAATTTAATATACGTTAAATAATCTTACATATACTAAATGCTAGTATTAAATATATATATAAATATAAAACACACTGAGTGATGCTGGTAATAAAAGTGCTTGATGTATCCTGACGACTGGCTCATGCATGAAACTAAGAGTTGCATCAGTGAGTAAAAAAATGTATGTGTGTGTTTATATATATATATATATATATATATAAAAATAGATGTTTTCACTTATTAATGTGACATTCTTATGGCTATCCTAAACTAAAATAACATTTATATATAATATATATATATATATATATATATATATATATATATATATATACATACATACATACACACGCACATATATATATATATATCAACTGAATAAATTCCCAATGAACAGTGCCCAACCACAACTCAAAGTTTCGTGTGTTTACACACAATCATCAGGCAGTCAGCAACAGTTATTTGTGAAGATGGTCATTTTATACTCTTTTGGTAAGTTCAAGATGTTACAAGAGTAGTTTATGCATACATACTATGCAAACACCAACCAAACTCACTGAGGGGGCAAAGTGGGGAGGGGGTTGAGTCCATTAGGCCAAGATGAAAATGCCGTAAAATCACCACCATTAAAAAAAATAAAAAAACCATCAGAGAAAGTTGACAGGCATATCGAAAAAGTGCCAGATATCATGAGAAACAGTAGGACCTCAGCAAAGGAGAATACTGCTAAAAATAAAATAGTGGTCAACAACACCAGGCCCTCAAATTCCCCATGACAGAATATATAGTTTAAATAAAATAAGCAAATCTTAATATATTGAGCTCTCTTTGTCCAGCGTGTCTTGATAGTTGTTTATTTAAATTTTATATATATATATATATGTGTGTGTGTGTGTGTGTGTGTGCGCGTGTGTGTATACACAGTGATAAATATGGAATCATATTTTTTTTTTTTTTTTTTATATGTCAATAATGTGACATCACTGAACATAAGGTACTATTTAGTATTACAATACTGGAAAATCCGTTTTTTTGCTGCTTTTGCTCAAACACCAAAGCCAAGTATATTCAGTTTTAATTGCTTCTAACTTTAATTTAGAATAATGGGAGCTAGAATTGTTATTGCTGAACAGGAGGGCACAGGTTTTTTGGTGGTGAGGGGAAGCATAAAGATATAAAAAACACACACACATTCATTATCTCAACACATATACAATGAAAGAGGCTACTTAAGATTATTAAGACCGATAGCATGATTAATAAAACAGTTGCAGAAAAATTTTTCAATTTAATTTTGTTTTTTTTTTTCTTTTCTTTCTTTCCTGAAGAAGAATCACCGGGCGTGGAGTAAGTATGTATTTTATGTCAGAGTGTGTATATAGAATGAACACACTGAAAGAAATGTGTGTTAAAAATACAACTGGTTAAGATAACATCTACATGGGAATTTTTTTAATAAAAAAGAACTATGGCCGATTTTGCATAGTGAATCCACCTTATCTAAAAGTGTAAAAACTTAGGGGGTGGGGGGAATCTACTGATAAAATCTTAACATAAAAAAAAAAAAAATATAATGAAGTTAGAATCAAAACAATTTTGTTTTTGTATAGAATATTTGGGCAATTTTCTTTTTTGTAAATGTTCTCTATGGTACTTTTTTTACAGTTTTTTTTTTTTTTTTTTTTTTTTTTTTAATTTCAGCATGCTGAGAAAAGGCTTAAAATAAAACAAAGGGAAAAATTAAATGAAAATAGACATTACGTTAAAAATTACTGAAATTCTGACTAGAATTCAAAGATTTAGATAAGGTGGCTGTTCATTATAAAAATAAAAAAAGAGAACATGCAACCAACCTACACAGCAGTTTTCCTGGGACAGAGTTGTTAGAAAATGAAATTAGAAATAAGACTGTTTTAAAGTAAAACTATTTCCATAATAATAACAACCAACCTTTAAAACTGTACCTTGTAAATAATATTACACAAAGTTTAATATTGGGCAATATATTGGTTGGAATTGTGCAGTAAATTTGAATTTCACTTCTTTTTCCAAGAAATGAATATAAAGGAAAAATATGAAATCTTTCATACTTTATGAAAACTTTTTTTGGTGGTGCCTTTTTAAAAAAATTACTGAATGATAGTGCACTTGTGCAATATTTATATTAGAAATGATTTATTTAAAACATTAAACAGTTTTTTTTGTTTTTTTTTTTATACTAATCATATTTGGACTAATCTGGAACAATCTAATAGGGAGCACAATATTTTATTTTATAGTATGAAAATAGCATCAAAATGATTAATGCAATGACTTCTGAAACCCAAAGTAAAAATTAATTCTAAACGTTTTAGCCACCAATGTCATCAGAGGGTCACATGGAAATAAAAAGTGATGGATCATCTTGTTTTCAGTTCTTCTAGTGGGTATAGAACGCTGGCCATTGACACCACCCCTCCCAACTGGTTTGTTCGAGGAGGTGGGTAAATTGTAAAAAGAAACAAGAGTGGAGGAATAGGATACAGGGAGAGAAATTGAAATTTGGGTGCAATTTTTTTTTTTTTTTTTTGAGAGGAATAAAACAAACAAAAAATGAAAAATCTTTTTTAATATGAAAGAAAGGGTAAACATGGTTTGACTTTGAGAAAGCGAAGATTTTGTTCAGTTAAATTTTTTTTTTAAAAATCCCATTTAAAAAAAAGTTTTTTTTTTTGTCTTTTTAGTCTTTTTTTCCATCCAATCGTAGCTAACTAAGCTTGGTGTTATACCTGTTTTAAATCAGTAACTAAAATCCAATTGAGTTTTTTTTTTTTTTTTTTTTTTCTATGAACTGAAGCAAAAATGAAACTATAGCTACATTTTTTTTTGTTGTTTTAAAAGATGTTCTTTAAACTTTCTGTTTCTGCCTAACAATTTCAGGGTATGAAAACATAGGAATGGGGGAAGGAGATGATGATTACAATGGCAGAGATGGGGCAGGGCAGCAGCAGAGTAAAGTTGCCACTCCACAGCTGCAGTGATGCTACTCTCCTCGCTTATCCCCACGTTCCATGGGGACTAGACGAGACTGAGGGAGAAAAAAAATTTATGCAGGAAGTATCAACCAAAATGCAATCTGTCACAGAAACAGGAGACTGCAGACAGGTGCTGCATACAGTTCCCTGTCACATGCTTAATCAGAATACTGGTTGTGGCTCCTTCCAAACATCATACCTTGTTGGTTAAGACCCCCACCTCCGAGTCGATTCTGCGAGAAATTTTGCACCCCAAAATTCTGCTGCCCCCCACCATAGTAGCCGCTCTGATTATCATTGCGTCCACCCATGCCGCCGCCAGATCTGGACGAGGGGCCTCCACCCATATTACCGTTCATTGCACTCCCCGGGCTTCGCATCAAACTGCCCAGAGTGTTGCTTCGATTACCAAGACTGTTGCGGCCTCCGAGTCCTCCAAGTAGACTGGGGAGACCTCCAACTCCGCTACCCCCACTACCACCACCACCACTGCGACTCATTCCTCCACCGCCCATACCTCCAGACCCACCACCACCACCGCCGCCGCCGCCTCCCATCATGGACCTACCCCGCATCGGTTGCCCCCCCATTAGAGGAGTTACGCCACCACCCCCTCGCATGGAGGAACCCCCGCGCGGCATTCGGCTCCGACCACCCTCAGCGATTGTAAAACCACCATAGTCATTTACATAAAACTCGTCAAAATTATGGGGGTCGTACGGCTGTATAACACCCTTGGGAGGGGCCGCCTCCAGCAGTTGGTAGATGTGTCTAATGCAGTCTGTGACTACTGAAGGGCGGCCTGAAATGGCCACCACACGGTCAGTGGACTGTGGGCAGCAAGACGAGTAGATCTTGATGTTGGCACCGGTTTTTTCACGCAGTTCTTTAACTTTGAAGCCAGCTCGGCCGATAATACAGCCGGCCTGACTCTGGTGGACGAGGACCCGTAGTTCGCAATCAAACTTCTGGTCGTCCTTATATTGTTTGTATTCTTCCAAGGAAGGGATGATGTCTAGTAAACATTCCAGAGCTGTCTCTAGATCTGTGCTTACTGTGAGAATCCGTTCGGGTCCCGGGCAGTCCGGGACGGTGATATTCGCTTTGAAGTCATTTCGCAGTCTTTTGATGTTGTTACCGCCTTTGCCGATAATAGCACCAGCATTTTTACTCTGGAGTAAAACCCGAACTTCGATTGGCGGTTTTGTGCCGCGGGGTCTCTTCATCGACGAACAATCGCCATCCTCCAGCGGCCGCTTCGTCAATCCTTCTCCTTTGTTGTCCATGGCTCTCCGAGGGAGGAAGAAAGATGAAGGGCTTGGTCCGGGATGTGCACAAACTGGAAAAATGGAGAGAGAGTAGGGCAGGATTTTGAGACAACAAGGAAACGGGGGAGATGACGTTAAGGAAGTGCAAAAAATAAGGAAGAGCACTGGTGGAGGTGGTGAAGCTGATGAGGAAAAGGGTTCGGGGTTCAAGGGGGCGTGGAATTATGCGATGGGTAGATTACAAACAACACAAGAGACAAATAGGACGGTTTAAAAATGTGTTAATTTTAGGGTTAAAAGAATAACTGATCAAGGAGAGAAGGAAAATAGGCCAGCAATTCGGGGTACGTCTCTACCCCTGAAATCTTTTTTTTAAGCAGGCAAACACATACATTAGAAGACACGACAAGACAAACAGACACACAAGAGACGAGAGAGAGAGAAAGGAAAAAAAGGGACTGTCTCGTCGTAGTAGGTTAAATTATCACAAGACTTCGATTGTCGAAGAGGAGAAAAGTTGACAAAAATAGGGGGACCAAAGATAGGGATAATCCTCAAGATGATATACAGGTAGAATTTTGTTGAAATATTTCATAAATTTAAGTCAAATACCTGTTTTTGGAAAGGAAAATCAAGGACAGAGCGAGGAAATCTCTGTCAACAAATGTCGAGGGAACCGTTAAGATGGCCGCCGTATGAGGAACGATACTACCTCCAACGTTGAAGATGTATCCTTGTTATGCAACCGGCAACACACCCACACACAAATATTACAGAACAACTGAGTTGCTAACTATTCGCACGGAATCATTCTGCCCGATGCAGACAAGAACAAAAATGAAAGAAAGGGGTTAGGTGATATTTGACCGATATGCTTTAAACTATAAAAAGGGAGGTATATGACGCTATAGACCCGACATTAAACAGATTGGTTCACAAAAGAAAGCTTTATCTAAAGAGAAAAAAATGGTTATGTGCCCGATCTGTAGTTTCGTAGTACTTTTAACTGGTCAGGTATCGAAATAAGGCTGTAGATTTGATTACTTTGTCAGCATTTCTGACAAGATAAAAACAAGAAGCTCTGTTGCTATACATTTCAACACATTAAAATATAGATTAACAAAAACAAAGATTCGATTGAATTACTTAAAAATCTGTGATTTTTCTATTAATGTCCTGACTATGTACACGGTGCATAACGCGTTTTAAAATAAGAAAGACAAAAATCTATTTACACGACACTTGATGCTTACCTCAAATTTAAATTTTGGAGAATGCTAAAGTGTTATACATCCGGTTTGCACATAAACGGTTTATTTTTTTATTATCGGGAAAAATCTCATTAAGCATTCAATGCATAAGTGTTTAAAACAAAATTTTTTTCTTTACAAATCGAGTGCTAAATGAAGTCCTGGGCCATTGTTTTAAAATACTGAGTAAAACAATGGAAATATTAATTAATGGATGTTTTGCATAACATAATTAAACATGTAAAAAAAAAATTTTTCAAAGCATTTTTACTAGCAAATAAAATAACTTTGTAACACACAAAAAAGTTAAATAGATTCAAATCTTTTTTAGACTGAATAAAAAAAAAAAAAAATAAACAAATTTTACATGTTTGTGTTACTGTTAACCATTTTTTTTTATTTTTTATTTTCCCTAACATTTTATTTTTTTTTATGGCTTCACTGGACACCCATAAAAAAAAATGGGTCAATGAAGATTTTCCCTTTTTATTGGCACGTAAAACATCTAGTAATTTTGTTGCGATATTACTGTTTTTAAAAAGTATGGATATATTTTGAACTAAAAGGAAAGCGCCTTTTTGTATTAATATCGAATAGGGAATAATGTTTCTTCCTCTTTCGAGTAATCCATTTGTTAAGGCGGGAAAAGGGAAGATATGGCGGTTTCGTGTTAAAACTTGATTAGCGTAAACATTAATTTATAAAACAATTGCAACAGTTTACTTTAAAGATTGCTTTATCAAAAGAATTTTTTTAAAATTCATAACATTTTAATCAAAGCAAGTATTTGTAACAGTTAATATTTAAAAACTGGATAGAAAGATAGCAAAGAAAGATAAAATAGCCCGGCTTTTTTTTTAAAAAAAAATGAGTTGTGTAATAATAGTTGTGGTGGTGATAGTAGTAGTAGTTAGTAGAGAAGTCTGTGAAAAAATAATTGGGTGTGTCTTTCTCTATATTTTTTAAAGTATTCGCATTTTTCTTGGTGATAGTGATAAAACATTTGACTTTAATGCATAAATTTCTTTTCTTAAGTTAGGAGGTGAAACTTATTGAAGATTAAAAAAACAAAAAAATGGATGGAGGACAAGGACATTAACAAAGTTTTTTGTGTTTTGTTGAGGAAAAAAAAATGAGTCAAAATCAGTTGGGCTTAGACTAGAGTAATAAAACCTTACTCATCAATTTTATAGAAAGAAAACCTAAACGATATCAAATGATACAAAAAAGAAAGATGCAGGTTTATTCTTGTTATATCGTAATTAAAACCTTAAACTAGCAGAAATACTTGCTAAGGTTTCCTAAAAATATACCCTCCCGTCTCTAAATCATTTTAGTTTCACTTTTTGTATAAGTAATGTTTTTTAAAAAATAAAAATATGTTCTGGATTTAACCTAATTGATATTTTGTTGGGTTTAAATCGATTTATTTTATAACTTATTTTTTTATAATTTTTTATTTTATAATTTTTAATTTTATAATATTTAAAAAAATATTTATATTCTCTAAAGCAAGTATTAATTTTTTGGAGTGAAGACTTATTTTTAATTTTTTTTTAATCAAAATCTTTTTTTTAAAAAAAGTGGAACAAATGTTTTAGAAAGTAATGCTTGATTATTTTGATTTTTTTATTGATAAGAAAAATAAGATGTGTGTACGTATAATGATTATCGGTGCAGAAAGAAGAATTAGCAAATTCCAGCTTTGTCTGTTGCATTCACATTTGGAAAGGCATGAAACCATCTTTTCTACCTCCACCCCAAACTATGTGTTAATGGTAGGATATCCCAAACTCTCTAAGACATGGCAATTCATATAAGGAATGTGCAAATTCTTTACAAACTTATCAACGAGTAGAAAGTGTGATGATACCACAAATCATTTTTTTTTTTTTTTTATGCTATTTCAGAATACAGTGTAACCCGGATATAAGAGAGTTGTCGGGACCGGAGAAGAAGTCTCTTATATCCGGGTTTCTCTTATATCCAGGTTTGGTCTATTTTATATATATTAACACAGGCTCTAATTTGGGACCAGAGAAAATCTCTCTTATATCCGGGTTTCTCTTATATCCAGGTCTCTTATATCCGGGTTACACTGTATATATCATTGTTATCCACAGTTTCTTTTTTTTTAATATCTGTGAATTGATATGACTGTTTTGGGGGAAGACTGAATAGTTACCTATTGTTTTCTTCATGTTTTTGAATTTAATTTTTTTCATCTAGAACTTCTTACCAACTAAGACTATACAGCCTATTCTACCTAAGTATTTACAAAGAGTTGCTGTGTAGAAGAGACAGATTCATGCCTTTTTTAAGGACAATGGTATAAAGTTAATGCAACAGCTTTGGTTGTAAGTTGAACTCAGCCTGACACTTTTCCATTTTCTACACCAATAGCATCTTTAAGTCCTCATAGAATCCTCCAAAAATGTAGACTTGTATGTGACTTATCACTATTTAAATAAATCATTTAAATTATTTAAAAATAAAACTTTTGAAAAATTAATTTGATTAGAAATCATGCATTGTTTAGTAATTTTTGTGTTCAAAGTCCCAAGATAAAGGATAGATTGAAATATAAATGGATATATTAAATTCAAATAATAGGAAAGAATAAAAAGTTTTATAGTTTACCATAAAGAAGCTGTGGTAGGTTAAGGAAGTGAAAATCTGGTCTTGTAAAAAATATTCAACTCATCCACAAAGAAAAGTAAAGGAAAAAAAGAAAATCAAAAATATTTATATATTCTTAAATTGTTGAAATGATTTTTACAAAAATTACTTTCTTTTTAGTCCAGTTTCTTTAGGACAGGAAATAGACTAAACACAGGAAGATTTTTTAATGACTTCTCTTACTACTTCAACCTGGACTGTTACTCAGACTGACAACTTGATATGTCTTTTATTTACAGCAATTTTATAATCAACAAATTGCTGAGCATTTTTTTAAGTTTATTTTCTTCTTATTAAGAGAGTTTTTGTTTGATAGGAAATAGACTAGACACATGAAAATTTCTTAATGGCGCTCTTATTATTTTGACTCAAACTTTCACATAGACTAACTACTTGATATATTATCCTTTCACCTTTACCCAGGGCTAGCACAATGGTCCTATGCCCAGTTTGAATCTATGATATGGAGCCCCCATTCAGCTACATCTCAATTTTTATAAGGTAGTATTCATGTAAAATACAAATTTTATTTTAAATTAATTATATACAATAATGGATCATATACAATATGGGTGAACAATTTAATTAGAAAAATTAGAAAATAAATACAGTGTATCTAAATAAAAATTAGAGACATGTCATAATATGTCATTTCTTCTTAAATAAATCAACAATGTTTTGCGCCAATTTCTAACATCAATTTGAGATTTTTCTTGTTGAAAGTTGAATAATTTAACACATTCAACATTATGGATGTAAAATAGTGAATTTTATATAGTGTTTGTTTGAGACTCAACATGAGCAAAACAAATTCACAGATTTGGATGAAAAAAAAAGAGAACCCCAGAATGATGTAAAAATCTGTGAAAATTCTTCATTCTTTAATAGTCAGTTGTGCTTAGTTTAATTTGTAACATATATAAATGTAGGTAGAAAAAAAGCAAATGTTGATAAGATAGCGAGGGTCACAAAGAACTGCCCAGTGCCTGCAATCAGGTTCCCCCTGGTTAGGGAGTTCAAGGGGTAGTAAGTGCCAGCTCTGCCTATACCAGGCAAATGGATTTTGTGCATGCTCTTGTGTTCATTACTATAGTAAACAGAATAGCATGCACAAATATTTAACAGAAAAACACTCAGCTCTATTTCAATACATGTTATTTGGAGGGTATAAAATTTCTAATAACTATACATGCTTAAAGGCTGCAACTTTGCAGATTAACCTTTAACACACTGCATTATTCATTACTTTCCTTTCCACCACATTGTTTTTCAAGGCTCTACTGCACTAATTTCAGTCATGATCATTTACTGTTGCCATAGCAGAATATGACAACACAACAAACACTATTATTCATTCATCTGAGTCACTTACAGTGGCAGGATAAAATTTTTGCTTTGCAAACAAAATCAACTCCAGTACATTAAAAGTTTTAATAATTTGATATATGTTTTAAATGATGTGTAATTTTATTGTTCTCTGTATATTATAATTAAATTTTAAGTTGGTATCCAGTCTGCAGGAGTATATCTTAATAATCTTCAATAAAAAGAATTTTTTATTTTGTTAGAATTTGACTAGTTGATAGAATATATTCTAATAATGCATCAGCTTTAATTTGAATCTGTTTAATTTTTCAGCTTGCCAAATCTTAATTTATAGAGATTTTTAAGTTTTTTTTCACGAACACAAGACAAACTGAAAAGAATCAAAAGGTTAATTGATTTTTCATTCCTTTCCAGTAGGCTAAAATAATGTGCACATTGACAGCTTACAACAGCTATTAGGGAGATGTAATTAAATATACTTTAATGTTTAAAAAATATTTATTCACTATTATTATTGTTTAGGTAATAAGTATTATAACATAGCACAAATAGATAT